AGAGACAGGACGTTTGTTCTGAGTAAAAATCTTTCACAGTTATGTAAATCTACCAACTTTTGTTGCCTCCATTATCTCTTTTCCTCTCAAAGATGAGACTCTCAAATTGATCTTCTATATCATTCATGCCGTAAAAAATGCAAATGAATCAATTTTTTTCGTGAATTGATTAATGGTGCCCATTAACCACTTTAATGGAATGACATCGATGTAAAGTTGTTTGAGAAAGAGAATGTCGATTAGAAAATCGAGGGAAAAAGAAGAGTTGAATATTGAATGGGGGAGGGGGGAATTGGAATCCCCATATCGACAGTGTTTTACAGGTGAGGCCACTATCAATTCCTAAATATTTTTCTCAAGCATTTTAATTTATAATAGTTCTGGCAACCGCGACAACGTAAACATATGTTACAAAAAACGGGGTGTGCGATAGACTTACCTCCACGTGGTGCACCCTGGGCAACGTATACTCATACGGCAAAAAAGTCTATTAACCGGCAATTGACTTCTGGCTTCTAACTACCACGACTCCTTCCCCTGGTTGTCATATTCGACACCTTCCACAGTATTCCCCTTACCTTTTTCTCTACCTTTGTGTCCGGCTATCTCTTTTACAACTGTGAATCGCTCTTCTGTTCTCCCCCCTGTGAAGCCCGAAGCCAGCTAAATGGCTAATGATATCTTTCAAAACGCCTGCCATTTGAAATAAATAAATCAATAAATGTTACAAAAAAACAAGTTAAGTTAATAAGACAAAAAAGTGTAAAAAATTTTTGTGGAATCCTTTCAATTCAACATCTCCCAAATAGCAAAATCTTAACAGCTATTCAATTTCCAGCATAAACCGTTCAAAATATTTTTCATTTCTACTGTTTAAAGAACAGTAGCGTTTAAATTTTGTACAAAATTTTTCTTCCAAACTAAAGTAGATGCTCCTTTTTGCTAGTTGGTGAGATAGGAAAGAACGCGAATGCAAATAAACAAAAGCATTCTTCCATGAACAATCGTATTTCAATGCCGAAATCCTCGACGCAGCCTTCAAAATAACGTTGCGACCAGGTATGATTGCGTAAATATCTCTACCATGAAAGCTCAAAGACAAAGCAATTCATATCACCTCTCCAGATAAAAAAAACTAATAATTGGTTAATAATAATAGAATTTTTATTTTCGACTTCACTTAATTCGCCAATAAGGAGTATAAATTTAAACTCTACACTACTTGACCCAATTGCCAATTTTGATAAGAAATTCAAGTGATCATTTGAATCTCATGATATGAGGAAAGGAAAATTTTTCCTTAGCAACATTAACACTTATGTTTTCACCATTTATATGAGTAATTAAAATTATGGTGCTAACGTTGTTTAGTTCACCTACATGCTTAATCTCACTCACTTGGTGAAAGGTTGGCACAAAATTTGACAACATTTGAAATATTTACAATAAAAATTGAGTTTTCATGTGGTTGTTTAATAAGCTCTTAACATCGAGATCATAAATCATGGTGGGTGGGTTTTGAGATGTCGATTTGTTATTCTGATTGAACTGCCATATCTTTATTTATAGGCTTACTAAGTGACTTTTACCTTTTGCCCTTATCATTCATACTTCAGGCCAATCGAGGACAATTCTTAATATATAGATGGTTTGCACTGCCGACAGCATGTTTATATCTGTTTCCCGAGATATTTCATCAGGACATTCGAGATCTTAGAGCACCTGTTTTGGAACTTTTAAACGTTAAGCATCCAACTCGTACTAACGCGTTCCAAAGTTATGAATATGTCGAATAGCGTGTTCAGTGTATAGAAATGTCTATTTCTGCGTAAGTAGCGCTGTGTTTGACTTTTATACTTGAACATTTAGGAGCTGTTATCTACCTTCGCGTTTCCCTATTAGAAAGTGAATTCAAGGCCGGTCATGAAATTTAGACCAAGTTAATCCTTCCTTTCATTCGAATAGAAATCTAACCGTCAATATTCCTGAGGGTTGCACATTTTCTATCCGGTTAGCTGCAATATAAAATATTTATTTATCTGTATCAAATGGAAGGCGTTTTGATAGTTTGTAATGGATTGCTACACTAGTAAAGCCTGACTGTGTGGCAGATTCTCCTACATCTAGCTAGACTCCAGAACCAGCTAAGCTATAGCACGGAATACGCTTATTCAGTTGGGTTGTTGAGAGTAAAGTGTACATACAGGGAGCTTAGTCATGATCAGCATGGAGGATGCGGTTAAACGAACGGAAGCTACTGATTGGCCACTGTTTATACGGTCGCTGCACACAGAGTTGTACGTTAAGCAATGACCCAACCCCCCAATCGCCCCCCCCCCCCCCCCCCTAGAGCGTTTGTAGGGAGCTGCAAGGTAAAGAAAACGCTCGATATTTAGTTAACGTACAAAATCAACTAGTTGAGAGGGGAAGGTAGATCTTCAGCCTTAATGTAACAGGGTATTGGGTAGAGGTGGGACAGGCGTTGGAACTGCTGAGACGGGATTGTTGGAGTGGGAGGCAGTAGGATTGTGAACTTCATGCATGCTTGTGTCTCACAAGTTATCGTTAGCACTTAAGATGCCCTCGGGCTTCACAGAGGGGAGGAACATCAAAGTCAAAACTATTCGAGAGGGGGAACAGAGGAGGGATTCACAGATGCGAAAGAGCCAAACAAACACAAAGGTCGAGAAAAAGAAAATATGAGTACTGTGGAAGTGGTCAAATATGACATACAGTCGAGTCATAGTAGTTGAGGTGAAAAGTCAACTGCTGGATTATAGACATTTTTGCCCCATGACAGAAGAGTGTTTCAAAGATGTAAAAGAGACAGACACAACGGTAGAAAAAAGGTGAGGTGAGTACTGTGAAAGGAGTCGAATATGGCATACAGTAGGGTGATGGAAGTTTAAAGTCAGAAGTCAACTTCCGGTTAATAGACTTTTTTTCGTATGAGTATACGTTGCCCAGGGAGCACCACGTAGTGGTAAGTCTATCGCACACCCCATATAAAATATTGTCAACAGTCGAATTGAAATGCCGAATTAGGCTGCATGCCTCAATAGCCATTTTCAAAAGGGACCTACCAAATATTTCAATCATAATTCATTTAAAATACCTTAGTTTAAATAAATTCGCTCTTCATAAGCCAATTATACTGTCAAATTTTCGCATATTACTCCATAAATGATTTACACTGTTTTTTCCCAAATTCTTTATACTTCTTATTGTTTTTACTGCAGGTTTAAAATATATCTTAGTGACGTAAAACTTAGCAGAAAGTGCACTGAATACAGAAATAAGTTTATGCGTAGTGCACACAATTTGTGTTTTTTTTTATTGTCGACGAGTGATTAATTGAACGAAATGGTGTCCACGTAAAGTTTGAAATTTGTTTATAGTGGTATGACGGTAGTCCTAGCAGAGGGCTTCTTCAACCTTCGTCACACACCAAACCAAGTTCATTACTTTATTAAAGACATCGAGCCACTAAGTGGAATATTCTATTTGGTGGCTATTAATTGTATCCATTAATTATACTTTCAAATCGATTAACTCGCGTATGTATTCTTAACAGCCTGTAAAATCTGTTTTCAAATCATAAGTAATCATATACACCTATAAGTTTAAGACCAAGCAAACTCTACGCATAAATGTCATTTCCTTGTTAGAAACCCGATTTGTTAGAACTTCAATTATCATGGACATAATGTACTGTTATCTTTAAAAACCTCAAGGTGAGGTGAAGCACGGTGGTGGGGTGGGGGGGAATTCATCTAGTCCACTTCCAACTTGCTACTTGCTCCAAGCATGTAGAACGTACGCATTAAATAGGATCTTAATAAAAGTAAGTTACTAATGAGCTAAACAGACTTATTCAACATACTCAATTAATATTATTAGAAGTTAACAAGAGTGAATTAATTTTTTATGCATAAATAAATATTAGTAGAACGTTGTGTTATTGGTATATTGGGAGATAAATGGTAGAAATTTGTATTAATATTACACTGTTGTGTATATAACACAGCAATCAACTGTGTTTACACACTGCTAGATGACAAATGACGAAGAACGAACGAGCCATTCGTCGATTATTTATTGTACAGGATTCTTGGAAGCATGTTTTCAGATGAAGGAAGTGTTACTGAGTTAGTTAAAACACTTGATTAAGTTACGGACGTCATAAGACATTATTACCATTAAGAAAGTGAATTTACAAATGCTGATTGGATTAAAGAATTGAAATGTACTATTATTCAAATATTAATAAATGAATACGAATCAAATGGCATTATTATCCTTTATAAAGAGGTGCATTAAATTTCGACGAAAATACAACAGCCCTATTTGTAATGCGGGTTCATATATATTGATTTGAAGGGGAAGAACGTAAAATGAATTATAAAAGAAAAAGAGAGGAAGATTGAGAAGATTCGTGTTGAAATTCATAATTTTTAGCATTCTCATTTTTTTAAATGGGTTGATTAGAATCTTGGAAAGACCATGAAAATGCCGTCTCTAGTACACAGCTTTACTACAGAACATTAAATAGCAATATTTCATTTGAATATATATATATATATATATATATATATATATATATTTGAATATAGCTGCATTATACAAGCGTTGATCTATTCAAAAATAAGAGTAATGTAAATAATAGAAAAGATATTTTGCTTTAAACTTATATTATTTATAAATTAACACCAACATTTATTCTTGCCGTTCACTTACGGAGAAGATTGAATGATACATTATGGACAAAATAGTATGAGAGAATTATAAGATGGTCTTATCATGAAATTCAATTTATCAATTTACTTTTCATTATAATGCACAATTACTTTTGAAAAAAAACTAATTCGTTTACATAAAATTTATTCACAAATCAAATTAATAGATTTTGCATTATTAATTCACATTTTACTTTGAAATAAAACAAATGAGGCTGTTCAACATTCGTTTAAACCAATTACTGAAGCCGGCAAGAATATAAAATGCGTCGGAAACACAATTCGTTAGTTTGTGGATTGCGTTACAAAATGTATCCTCCAGAAGTAGATCCAAACATTTTTAATAAGGTGCTTGAAATTACACACCCTTTTGTACTTTCCATGGAAGATTACATGGATATTAAAAACGCACTTTTAGCTGCTTTGCGTTCTGGACTCAAACTAAAGCGTAGAGAAAAATCTTCTGTTAAGATGTATCCCTCATACGTCACAAAAATGCCAACTGGCGAAGGTTTGTTATATATTTTCAATTTATTATCTATCCTCAAGAATGTGGTCAATATCTGGCCTTGGACCTAGGTGGAACTAATTTTCGTGTCTGTCTCGTGACTCTTTCCGGTAGAAGAGAACCACCAATTGTTGAACAGCGAACACATGCCATTCCGGTGGAAAAAATGCGTGGCACTGGTCAAGAAGTAATTTATCTTATTCTTATTATAGTTTTTAGCTTTTCGATTACCTCGCAGCAAATATTCATGAATTTCTTCGCTTACGCGGTCTTCTCGATAAAGAATTCAAATTAGGATTTACTTACTCCTTCCCTTGCGAACAGGCTGGATTGAACACGTCTTTTCACGTTCGGTGGACAAAGGGATTTTCAGCTACCGGCGTCGTTGGTCGTAATGTTGCTGATTTGCTACAGAATTCCATTGATAAAACAGTAAGCTAATTCATTTGTCTACCGGTCTTTAATTTACACTTTATTTATAAAATATTTAAGTAAGCGCTTTTAACGTAGTGTTGATTTTTATATATTATTGTTAAGGAACAGCTGATCTTTTTTTGGCAGCTATGAGTCACAAACAACCTAATTATGTATTTTGATATAGGGTGCAAAAGTGAAATGCGTGGCGGTAGTGAATGACACGGTTGGCACTTTAGCAGCGTGCTCCTTGGAAGATAAAAGGTGTGCGGTTGGTCTCATTGTTGGTACCGGTTCAAATGCCGCTTATCTTGAGGATATTGACAAAGTTGAACTTATTACTGCTCGAAAACTCAGTGGTGAGCTGAATGAAGATGAGGTCGCCCATGCCAAGAGTGTCGTTATCAACATGGAATGGGGAGCTTTTGGAGACTATGGTGAGCTTGACTATTATCGAACGGAATATGATGAGATTTTGGATAAGGAAAGCATCCTGTCAGGAAAGCAAAAGTATATTTGGTTCTTGAGTTGATTTGGGGTTCTCTTAATAGAAGATAATGCTTATTTCATACCTTTTTAGGTTTGAAAAGATGTGTTCAGGGATGTATCTCGGTGAAATCGTGCGTTTAATTTTATTGGACCTTATTGATAAAGGCTATCTGTTCCAAGGACAAATTCCAGAGCGTCTACGTAATAAAGATAGTTTTCACACAAAGTATATCACCGAAACTGAAAGGGACCCACCACATCTTCTCTATAGCACATTGTACATGCTGACTGAGGATCTTCTAGTTACTTCTGTCACGCCTCAAGATAGCCGAATAGTGCGTTATGTTTGTGAGGTTGTCGCTAGTCGTGCTGCTCACCTAACTGGTGCGGGCATCGCCGCTGTCTTGGAGCACATCAAACGCCCTGAGGTCTCCATTGGTATTGATGGTTCTCTCTACAAACTTCATCCCCGATTCCGTGAACGCATGACTGATATTCTCGACAAACTTCTACCTCCTACCATTCACGTAATCTTGATTTAATTACGTCAATCTTAACCTCGTTTCTTTTGTTATCCTAACGTGGTCTCTCTCCCTCTTTGTAGTTCCGCCTCCGACTCTCAGAAGATGGTAGTGGAAAGGGTGCGGCAGCAATTGCAGCCGTTTTTTCAAGTCAAGAATAATGAACGATCAGATTTTGACCTCTTTAATTTACCAACTATACTTTCCTATCAGTATTTTTCCAAACCCCCCCCCCCTCCCCGCCCTCCCACAACCAACTCTCCACATCCATTTTCCATGACTTCCACTGCAGCTGATCTTGCCACAATCAACCTGTATATACGACATCCAAATGATCGATTCTGTTGTTCTCAGAACAATTCATGTGATAATTATTGCCACCCTCTCCCCCACCCCCTTCTCCCACTCATTCCTGTGTCAATTCAAGTCAGGCCTATCGATCTACTTTTGAATAAAGCGTTCATATTTGATAGCAATGTGTTAAATAACTTCTATGTCATGAAGAGTGGGTTAATTGGAAAACAAAGGATCTCCTATGCCAAATAGCAAGTGAAAAACACATAGGACCATATTGGCTATTTCAAAGATATGCCGTTTTTTTCTCGGATGTTGGCTATATTGGTTATGTCTGTAAGTGTAATTAAGTGCAGTGTGGAATTTTTTTCTCAGATCAGCTCCGCCCTTTCGATCAAATTAATAGTTCATTCTTTCGCTCACGTATGTAAACTTTTGTGTTTAATCGGCTATCCCGAGTGTAAAATTGGCCCGCTTAAATAATGCGCTAAATCTCATTCCAAACTGTGGTAAAACTACCGAACAGTCCAGGCGTACTTGATGGTGTTTAATTTATTTGGGTTCGGAATCCAATATTTACGAATCCAGTGAGAAAGGATTGGGTGGACTAATCATTTGAAAGACCACTAGGATTGTAATGAAATGAAATGATTTGTCTCTACATCTTTAGAAAAGGATTTAACTAATATCTATCTCCCTTAAGATTGAGGAAATTAATGTGACCTTGAAATGAAAGTGACGACGTGACATGAGCTGTCTGTCATTAGTATAGTAAACATGAATAAGCCATTCGACGTAAGTAAAATTATTCTTTTTGATACTGGCGTGTCCAACACGTGGCCACAATAAACACCCGACTCTTTTCTTGAGATTGGTATCGTATTAGAAAAGTATCCATTCAAGTTTCGTAAATCCACCCATGACGCCTTAAGGCTGTAGATATCCCACCTCTCTATATTGACAATATTGTTAATTCTTTGCTGTCCTGACTGAGGAATTCTGCATGGCATATCGAGAAAGCTAGAAATGATGTTGTTTAGACATCAATCCATTTAGCATGTGAACTCCTTGAGGTCAGTCTGACTGCGATATGCATAAAATATGGCCACACATGCCTCGAAGCTCGTTACGTCATAGTTACAATTAACAAGGCATTGAAATAGATAATGGCAATATTATTTTTCTATGAGCTGTTGACGTAAGTTTTGAAGCATTAGCCCATTAAAGCATAAAATCGATAATAATCTATATAAATTCATTCAAGTGGGATGGGGGTGGGGTGGGCAAGAATACAAGTTAGTAATATTAGAAAGAATAGAGAGAATATGAGCCTACCCAAATAGGAGCTCCTAAATCTTAGATAAAGGTTCCCCCCCCATCTCCTTGTTATGTGTCAAATTGTGTGCTCATATTTAAATTAAGGTGAGAACAACTGGGACCAAAGCAAATGAATAAATAGTCAATCTCCAGGAGACTAGATTCCATTTCACACATTATTTAAGTGAATATGGAATTTTCGCAATAAAACACTTATCCAATAAATCGTTCTTCTGCACAATTGCATGGACTAATAGATCATCAAGGAAGTAAATAATGCGGTTACATTTCCGTCTCCACTTAAGTGTCCATTATCGGACGGAAATTTTGATCTTTTTTTTGACATGGAGGCGAAATATAAAGACGATGTTTATAAACACGAAAATTACCGCCTTGAATCGTGTTTTTTCCTTCCCTCTAAACTTGGATACCGCCACAAGTAGCCACACCTGTTCGTTAGCTCAAAATGCTCGTAACACTATGCGTAGTTGTTAAGTGTCTTTGTCAGTCACTTTCTCTCCCTCCCCCACACACACCATTTTAATACAAGCGGGCTTATTAGTACAATTTTGTGAGGGTTGGGCTGTAACCTATTTATCCCACCGATCTTATATTCGACTAGTTTTTCGATTGAGTTCAGGATAGTTATGATTAACTTCCTACAGACTTGGTTTCATGTGTATTTTGACATACCATTTCCTGAAATTGAGGCCTTAATCATATGACATTTGCTATTGTGATTCTCATGGTCATTGTTAGTCAAATTCGTTTTTAAGTGGGATCTTTATCTTCTTCCTTCTTCCCTTTCTTCAGTTTGGGATACTTGGACGAACGAAATTCAAAGATTCTAATTCTGGAGCCACTCCTTGATGTGTTAATGGGGCTAAGGTATATTGATTTAGTTTACTGGGAAATCTCAAAATATCATTCCTTGCTAATCTTTAATGGAATATTGCAGGCATTGTTCTTTGTGCTTGACAGCACTAATCCATGAAATAAGACGACATATTCATCTAACTGCGCAATTCTGACTGGTGATTTAAGTATTTCTAATTGTTGGGTGTGCACCAATGAGCCTTGGATATGCTTATCATTAATTTCAAAAATGTTACTTCATTAAATCACAGCCAGGTTATTAGCACTGATTCGCAGCAAACAAACGCCGCCTATAGTGTTATTATTCCCAGTTTACCGAGTTAAATTAAGGATGTAAAGCTTTGAAATAGCTGAAGTCAAGCTAAATGCAGTTGAAATTTCTCTGATAAAGTGGGAAAAGTAATGAATGAGCTCATAAATTGTCAATTCAAATCAGTGTTTATTCGACAGACATAGGTGAAATGTGTTAGTTGATTGATCAAGAACATATATATTTTATGATGTCTAGACTATGACTATGCATATAATCGCATTTTAAAATTTCTTTTTGAGACTGCAACTATACTGACTACTAAAAATCGTCTACTGCGTGCAACCTCATTGCTGCTGTCACAGTAAGTCAACGAAACTAGCCAGTTCTTTCTAAGGCCTTCCGGAGTTTTGCACGTACTACTCAATACATTACAATTTCGAGAAACAGTGGTAAGCTAACAGAAGCGGTGCCAAGATGAAGCAGGCAATTAAGCTAATCGACTTAAACATAATTAAGTCTCAAACTAGAATACGAGAGTGTCATTGAATCCTGTTGTGTATTCAATCTCATGTTTGTCCCAACTTACGATTAGACTTTTCGAATACTCTTATTTTACCAATGAAGCCAAGTTGTTGGTTAGTTCGATGACTAAGACAGCAACTGCAAACATGTGATTTTAAATATGGGGAGCTTTATTAAAGGATGTTCCTCATTTTTAAGGACACACGAAGACTTGAACTTAGTATCTCCCCACAGATGATTCATTTCAAGTTCAATAAAGCCCAAGCGAAAACAACTGAACTTCTGGGTTAATGTGCTTAACACAAGACTTAATAAATTGCAGAATCATCTACAGTGTATTTGTTAAAAGTCATATGGACCTCAACAACTACTGTTACCTATTATCCTTCCGTTTAATTGGAGAAATCTCGTCAAAGAAGCATTCTTCATTTAGAGTTGGTGGTAACTCTATTGAATACTTTCATATCGCGTGCTTATTAGCAGGAATTTCAATGAGCGTTATATAACTCATGTATGCATGCTTACAATATTGAATAATTGCCACGTTTCGTAGTGCTATTATTGTGGCATTTTACCCAGTCACCTACGCTCAAGGCAAAAGCTAACACGTGTTTATTGATTCCAATGTAAGTAGAGGTGGGGTGTGCGATAGACTTACCTCCACGTGGTGCACTCTGGGCAACGTATACTCATACAGCAAAAGAGTCTATTATTTGGCAGTTGACTTCTGACTTCAAACTACTATCACCCCACTGTGTGGCATATTCCACCACTTTCACAGTACTCACCTCACCTTCTTTCTACCTTTGTGTCAGTCTCTTTTGCATCTTTGAAACATTCTTCTATTTCACCCCCCCCCCCCCCCCTACTCTCGAATTTTTTTCACTCTGATGTTCCTTCTCCTCTGTGGAGCCTGAAATCAACTAAAGAGCTAATGGTAACTACCAAAACACCTGCCATTTGATATAAATGTAAGTAGGGGTGTACCGGTGATATTGTGACAAGCGTGTTCAACCGAGATGGAGGAGGTCTAGGGTCGATGCATCTCCCCTGAGCCTATCAGCTAGACACATAGTTCAAGTCTAGCAAAGTTAAGTTGTGGTAAAATTCGAGTTTCGCACTGGAGAGCTCAATGACGCCATCCCTCTACCCAAAAGTTGTGACAAAAAACGCTACCTCAAATGGAGTTGGAATTATGTGTACGTTGTATTGGGTTTGAAGAAACCGAAAGGCTTTCAACAAAAAACTTGTAAATAACCCTTTTAAAAAGACCGAACTTAATTCTACAATAAGCATCCAACAGATAAATTCCTGAATAAGGCATGCAATTTAATACTCTTCACATCTGGAATAACTGTCTGCATTCTTCATTCACAATTTCCCAATTTTAAAGTTTGCCAGTCGATTCTTTGTTTTAATTGAAATGTTCCTCTTGACTTCCACATCTTTAATTTTCCATGCTAAAAGCCAAATGAAGAAGAGCAATTATTAATGATCTATTCCAGGTTGGAGAAATAAGAACAGAAATCAAAAAGCCCGGTGGTAGGGAAATACAAATTACGCACAAAATGATTATTGAATTAGAAATCATCTGAAATTGAGTATTCCAATGAAATATGAATAGTTGAATATACGGTCATTGAGATCACTATTAAAAGAGTCCCTTATTAAACAATTATCTGTAATGACAGGCAGTATGCAAACTTGTAGAATTCGGTTTCAAATTAAGAAAATAACTGTTAACGACATTTTTAGCGCACATTTAGGACAAATAGTTCTATTTCAGTTTCTCTGATGAAATGGTCTTATTGCTTACCGATCTGATATCTGTCTGAACACGATAATATCTTATTTTATTGGAAAATAAATCTACACTTAAATTAAGTACATTGAAGGTAT